TGCCGGGTAGGGATCCAGTGGTAGGAGGTCTCATCCTGCCCAGGGAGGATGTGTCCGGGTTGCCGTTGGAGGGGAAAGTTCTGCCTGTGAGTGGGTCTTATCCTGGCCTGGGGGATCCCCTGTCCGAGGGTGCTGTTGGAGGGGAGATCCTCCCTTACATCCTGCCCAGGGTGTGCTGAAGGTAGCTGGGAAGGAGAATGAGAAATCCCCTGCTCGGGCAGTGCCCTGTGAGTAGGATCCCAGCTGTGGTGATGGGGTGAGGGATCACATCCTGCTTGGGAAGTGATCCCCTGCTTAATAGAGGTCACAGCTGTGGGGTGTTCACACCCTGCCTGGGTGCTGTGACACCCCAAGGGTGCTTCTGGGGGGCCCCGAGCCAGAAGGGGACATAGAAAGGGGTTCCCCATAGCAAAGAGGGCCTGAGCTCATGGAAGAGCAGTAGCAGGGCCTGGGGTTTGGCTTAGCCACGGCCTGCAGGGGGTTGGATGATGTTATACCAGGAAGAAAGGCACTGGTGCGAACCCACTGACCAGTCTGGGGGTGTGAGGCAGAAATCTGGGTCTGAGGAGGGGACCAGCATCCCAAAACCAGGCAGGGAAGCTGCCAGTGCTGCAAAGACAGATCTAAATATCTCGCCCTGTGGCATTGTCTTCGTTCCCTGCTGTGGAGAAATCCCTGCTTGTGTGCTTGCAGCAGGGCACGGAGATGTGAGGCATGGCAGAAGCTTTCCCTGGGGCAGGGTAACAAGATCAGTGTGAGGGAGCAATTAGGGAGAGGTTTCTGTCTTACCAGTGTGAGATGAAGTGGGGTCAGATGCGTTGATGGTGCAATGGAAACGAGTGAAGACGCAGCTGGGATGGACTTTGCCAGAGCTGGCAGAGGAAGAAGTCTCCTGGGGAAGTCCTCATTCTCCATCCAAAACTCCATGTGCAGTAAAACCCTGTAGGACAGTTATTTCTGTAAGAGCAAGTGTGCTGAACCTTTAACTTTGCAAGGCAAGAGCGTGATATCTTCAGAATAACCCTCCCCGGATGCAGATAACTATCTGAGAAGTATTTCCAGAGTAAAACTGCTTCAGATAGAGTGCATGCAAAATGCTTCTTTTGTTGTGTTTCAGCCCCTGGAGCCCTCCACCCACTCCCTCCATGTCCACAGCTAGCAAGGTGAGTTTGCCATCCTGGCACTGCTTGTTTGGGCTACGTTTGTGTTTATGGATTTTATTCTGAAGTTGTTTACTTATTTGAGAACATCTCTTGAGCTGCTCCAGAGTGAAAATTCATCCTTGTGGTATTTTTAGCTTATTTTTCTAATGAAAGAAGCAGATGTGATTGGGTACTCTTGCCCTCTCTCTGTAACCTCTGCATTTATTTGTCTTTTCAATGGAATTTGTCCCAGGGGTCAAAGCTTCCTACATAAAAAGTTCCTACGTATTTTGTGAAAATAAATGGCAGACTAGAGGCCATCACTGTATCAGCTGGGGACAAAGTCTGTAAATTCCCTCCACGCCACACATTGCAGAATCCACACAGGATGTTGTCACAGGAAACAGCTTCATGATTTTGCTGCTCACAGGCTGTTTCTGCCTCCAATCCTCCCAGGAGGCTTTTTTTCTTCTTCTGTAAAATAGGTGATTCTTGCCTTTTCTGAAAACACAGAGCAAGAAGGAAGGTTTGTCCCTCTTATTTTCTTTTGCTTATATTGTTGTGTGAATATTATTTCATGCCTTTCTCTTTTTTTTTTTTTTTAATATTTTGAAAACTCCTGAGCAGGTCAGGAGCCATCCTGGAGTTCTCCATGTAATGGTGGCCTTGTAAAAAACTGCCCAGGAATGATCTTGTGCTCTTGCTGCCAGCCTTATTATGTCTGAGGGGGCTGGTACCTGAAGGCCCCCCGTGTTCAGGAGGGACAGTCTTGCGACCTGCAATGCTTCGTTTGCTGCTGCAGTGTAATCTTTGTTATTGTGCCTGAAGCAGCTTTGTTCCCTTTTAGTGACAGCATTTAGAGTTTTGGGCAGTTGATGTCCTTTTGGTCTTTGCCACTTCTTCAAATCTCACAGCAGCCATGGCTTTATTAGCTGTCCCCATGTGTCCCCTGCATGTGGAGACCTGGGGGGGGGGTGTGGGAGTGAGCAGCAAGGTGCCTGTGACCTTGAGGTGTGGTGCTGGGACTAATTAGTACCACACCAGGTGTGATTCTGGGCAGGCATCTCCTCCTGCTAGGACCTGGTGAGTATTTTATGGCCAGAACATGCAGTTCTAGTGTCAATGGCGGAGTTGTGAGTGAGGGGATTAACTGGAAAATCGTAGTTTCCATTCTTTGGAAGGCTGAATTAAACATCTAGTTTCAGATGTTTGCCAGAGTTGAGAATTCTTTGCTCAAAACATTCCATGGATCCTGCCCTGTGTCTATGGATGGCACAGAGATCACCAGAGCCATTTGGCAGCAGCCTGGTGAGATGTGGTGGTGTAAGGAGGGTGGTTTGGACCCTGCACTTGGATCTGTGGCAATCACCACCTGAAATAGTCTTGCTGCTTTCATACATCTCTCAGTGTAATCTCCTGAATCTGAAGATGATGAAATTTCCTGGAAGCAGCTCCATTTTCCCCTTGGAATTGTCTTTTCCTTTCCCCGTGCTCAGAGCCACTGGTAGAATTAAGGGAACAGGATTCTTGGTCAGATGTGGCTGATAAATGGAGTGTGAGCAGTCCAGGAAGTTGAACTTCCCACTGCAAAAGCTTGGGAAGTTCACTTGTTAATCCTACACAGCAATCAGCTGTGTGCCTTTTGGGGGAGTTTGGGGAAGAACAATTGTGCCCATCTAAAATGAGCCATGAGGAGCAATGGTTTAACTGAGAAAAACTGTTTCCAAAGAACGAGCAAAAAGTGACTCCCTGAATTGGTGTTACTTTGGTTCTCTTAGGAGGTGCATTTGGAGCCAGTCCATGATGCTCTGGGAAATGAACTGTCATCTCAAAACAAAATGATAAGATAGGGGTCCTATTGCCAAAGTGTCATCTGTAAAACAATTCTTTTATTAGCAAGGAGGAATTAGAGGGCAAAGTCAAGGTGCCAGCTCTGAAATGAAAAGCCTGATGCTGTGCAGCCTTCCTGAATTCCTGCTGGAGTAGTTTCTGGGTTTGCCTGTGTAATCTTCCCTAGTTCCTATGGTCATTTTTGGCAATTAGGGACTGTCCTTTCTCAGTTCTGTGCCTTGCAAGTGTGATGGCATTTGGTCCATCATTTCCCACCGACCAAGGGGAACTTTGTTCCACCGTAGCTTTTCCAGTAGTTGATGCTCGTCCTGTCTGCCTGAACGTGACTGTTTTATTCCCTCAGCGTTTGTCTCACCATGAGTTCTGAATTAAACGTCCCAGTGGATCCCTCCACCCCTGCTTGCTGCTCTGAGCCTGGCACGAAGGGCATGGATTACCGGGACTGGGTCCGGCGCAGCTACCTGGAACTGGTCACGTCAAACCACCACTCTGTTCAAGCCCTTTCCTGGAGAAAATTGTACCTGAGCCGAGCCAAACTGAAAGCTTCCAGCAGAACCTCTGCTCTGCTCTCTGGATTTGCCATGGTATGTGTGTTTTATAGCTTTCTGAATCGTGAAGGTTTTGGCTCTCTAAAATCATCTATTAATCCGCATTTTCCTCCTGGGAAGAATCAGGACATACTGTTGTTTCCTGAAGAGGCAGGAGGCATCTGTCTCGGCTGCTGCTGGAAAGTTTGAGGCTGGCTCTCTCAAGGCAGCACTGATACATGAGCTAAGACAACCCACACACTCCCAAGTCAGCTCTTTAAAAATACTAATCCCCTACCTGCAAGTGTTCCACCAGCAATGCTAAACAGTCCAGGACCTGAGCTCTCCTTTGGCCCTGAGGCCGTTCATCCCTTGCTGCCTTTACATGTGAGGTTGCCCATGGGTGAGGTTGCTCATGGGCGTGGAGTTCCTCCAGGCCCCTGTGGTTGCTGTGGTCCTGAACATTATTTTAATTTCTGTGTGTGTTTTCTCAGGTCATGGTGTCTAAAATAAGGTGGAGGTTGGGTCGCAGTCTGCCAAAGTGAAGTTTGCATAGCGCGATCAGGGAGATCGTGTTATACACTGAGGTGTGAGAAAAGGCCCTGAGACTCGTGTCAGAGGGCTCTGTAGCCTGAAGGGAGCCAAACCTGGTATATTTTTGTCAGTGCTGCCTATTAGAAGTAATCCCTGGTGCTTGCTTTCTGCTGTGCTGCACTCGGGTGTTATCTGGAAGCTATTTGCATAGGTCAAAACTGTGTCAGGAGTAAGCAAATAAACAAGACAGAGACAGTCTGGTCCAGTGCTCAGGCCTGTTCGAGCTGTGGTGTTAACAAAACACAGCTCTGCTGTGTCAGTGTGAGCCCCTTTACCTCCCCTCTGCTTCTTGCTTACTGGGAGTGAGGATTGAAACCAGTTTGGGGGAGGTTTTCTGCTCAGGAAATGGGCAGGTCTGGTTGTTCCTGAGGTCTGTCAGCAGGGGGGCAGAGGGCAGTGCCTGGTGCATGGGACACGATGTGAGGATGTTGCATCCTGCAGCTCAGAAGCTGTGAGGGGAAGACAGATCTTTCCAGATAGCCTTTCTTGTTTTATTTTAGCTTTTTCCGCTGCTTTTTCCTCCCCCAGCCCCCCAGACCATGAATCATCCATAACATTTCAGCAGTCTGGGATGACAAAGTTGGTCACCCAAAGTGAAGCTGGCAAGCTGCAGGTGGGGGGTTCAGTGGGAGCAGACTGGAGGGGGAGAGGGTGCTTGGGAGGGTTTTCTGTCCTCTCCGCTCTCTGTCTGTGTGCAAGAGATGCTCATAAAAGCTTTTCACAAAGTCTTTGTTGGTTTGTGACCAAACTTGTGTGCTGCAAGGGCAGAAGGTCCCTTCTTTTGAGAAAGCTGGATGCTCTCCTGTAGACTCCTTTCACTCAGTTTCCTTACTCTGGAAAAGCCTCTCATGTGCTTGCCCTGTGGGCCTCTGGGGTTCCATGTTAGTCATTTGTGACCATTCTCTTTAACATGGTTATTACATTAGCATTTTGTGTTCTTGTGGACTGATCTACGAGCATGGTCACACGAGGGGTCCGTGCTGGGCTGTGCTGTCACTGGCATCACTGGGACTCGGGGGCTTGCAGCCCACCCACACTGCAGGGCATTGAAAACAAAGCATGCCTTCTCAGCTCACACAACACAAAGTTGCTGGAAGTCCTTGGCAAACACACAAAGTTAACCATTGGTTTTGTTTTCTCTCTTAAACTGTTTAAAATGCGAGTCCAATAAACACGCAGGTCTAAATACTGTTCATTATGACCACCAGCCCAACATATAAGAGGTACTCCTGAAATCAGTAAGACATAAAATCTCTTGCAAAATCTGTCTTTATTAGCAAGCTTTTTCCCAGCTAATTGGACCTTCCTTTGACAGCTGAGGTATTTGTTCCTATTGGGTTGGTTCTCCTCTGGTAATTTGGCATGTAGGTATTTAGTACACGGATGTTTACTCTATTGAGAGCAACTATTTGGCTATTGATGAAAGAAGTTATTTTGAGATAAATGTGTGTAGACGTGGCACTCAGGGACATGGTTTAGTGGTGGACTTGGCAGTGCTGGGGGAAAGGTTGGACTCGATGATCTTAACCGTCTTTTCCAAGCTAACTGATTCTGTGATTCTATGAAATAGTTTCCCTGAAGCCTTGAGTGCATTTAACTATGTAAACAAATGTCATTCAGGGCTTGGCTATTGCTTTATTTACTTCCCTGTCGGTGTGTTTGATTCAAGCCAGTTCCATATTGGCTGAAAATGATTGCGAGCTGATGGATATTTAATCAACAGGCGATGGCTCTGATCCAGCTCCTTCTGGACAGGCTGCAGAATAATGCAAACCTTCCTCCTTACCATCTCTGGTATTTCTGGCAGAGAGTTGGGCAGATCAGGAGGATGTGGGTCATTCCAGTGCCATGTCTGCTTGGAGATGGGTTGTAGGGTGACTGCATTTGCCCCGAGGAGGCTGCAGATAAAGGAAATTAAGAGGGAGCTTAGGAGACCTCCTTAATAATTTTCCTGATGGAACTAAGAACTGTTACTGCTAATCCATCTTCTCAATACTTGTCCAGTCGCTACAGGATATGTATTTGATTAAAAAAAAAGACAAAACAAAAACCCTAACAGATCTACTGGAGTGATTTTTACAGCCTGCCAAACCATCTGTGTGAATGTGTCATGGTTTATGTTAAGCCATTTGTCATCCTTTTGCCTGTTATTATCTGTCCTGGTCTAAATTTCTCAAGATGAGTATCATTTTTGTTGTGGATAATCGGGGCTGTACTGGTCTAAAACCCACCATCGTTGCATGTAATTTAATTGCAGTTTAATTCTGAAATGTTCTGAGCGCTCGGTCCTGTGAGCCTGGAGTCCAACAGGATGATTCTCAAGCTTAAAATTAAGCCTATGCCGAAATATTCCATGGCTTGGCACAGTGCTCAGCCTTGCAAAGTGGCTTCTGAGAAGAGGTTAAAATAAGGGGGCTGTTGCATGAAAGAGTATAATTGTATCAAACATGACATATTAATAGTTTTACAGGCTAGGCAGCATATTTAATAATTTTTTAAATGGGTTATGTCAGCTTGTCCTCTTTCTCTTATCCCGGTCAGGAAATGACATGACAGTCTGTGCAGGGTAAAGCAATCAGAGCTCACTCACCTTTTCAGCACTTGTCTGGGTTAAATGAACTGGTTTTCTGCCTTGCTGCACTATCTGGATTGTTGATGTTTTCCCCTGAAATACCTCTTACTGAGCCATCAGTCAGTGTTAAAAATTCATCACATTGCACAGCTGAAGCCAGCCCTAGGGAATAGGTTAGTCTGGGAGGAAACATCCAATTAGCTGAAAAGTGCTGCTCATGTGAAGGATAACAAGCAGAAATTGATATGTTGACATCAGCCAGGCTTTCAGCTTTAATATAAAGCTATAAATTGAACATGCAGGTACAATTCCCATTCAGCTGGCTGAATACCACGTCCCTGGTTATTGCAGCACCCACTTAATGAACAATATACCTGCAGCTTTTCCTGGCTGATGGGGTGTGACTGGCAACCACAGCGCTGTACAAATTCATTGTACGTAGAGAATAAGTCTGATCTCCTCCCTCTCAAATCAATAAAAGGGGAACTGCAAAGAGAACATGCACAAGGCCATGTGAAATGTGTTTTAATTAAATTGACCTTGCAATAGATAGAAGGCCAATCCTGTGTTAATATTTTCTTTGCTGTACAACAAGAACTACTGTAAACTGCAAACAGGAACCTATAAAACAAACAAACAAAGTAAACTCTCCACATGTTCATAATCAGGACAAAGGGCTGGGAATATCCAAGAACCGCCACGATATTTTTCATGTCTCTAAAATCCTAAATAGTTTCTGAAAGTATAAATCTGGGCTTGTAGACCATTTGCCACATATTATATCTTGGTTGTTACTAAGGGTTGGACTTGTTGATCTCAGAGGTTCCTTCCAACCTGTCTCATTCTATGATTCTAAATGTGTTCAGACTTGACTGTGATCCCCTCATTCAGGCTGCTGATGATTTCAGAGTAAATGCAGGTAAGGCAGCAGTAATGCCAACTGGCTTCCATCCCCTTTAATCCTTTTCAGGGCTTCCAACAGGGAGAACACGGGCAGACCCCTAATCTTCCAGTGCCTAAATAATATTATTAACAAGTAATGCCAGAGTGAGGGGTGCAGGTGATTATACAGAGCCCGAAATGGCTGCTCGGGGGGTGTCTCATGTGAAGTCTGGATAAAGTAATCATGAGTCAGTTCTGCAAAATGCTTCAGTGTCCAAGAATTGAGCTGCTCGTTCAGACTTTGCCTTGTCATGATGGTCTTGAGAGGCACTGCCCTGAGTCAGGAACCCAAGTGTGGCTTCTTTCCATGTAGCTGTGCCGTGCCGGGGCAGCAGATCCCCTGGGATCACCAGACGTTTTGCCTGCTGCCAGGAGAGTTAATATCTCTGCAAATCATGAAGTGCAGCTGCAGATCCAAGCCAGCTGCTGGAGAGGACTGTTTGATAAGTCTTGTTCACTGCTTTTGTGGCTTCTCATAGTGAAAAAGGTTTGTGCAGTCCTTTCAGGGATGCTATCACAGAGAAGTACTGGTTTACTTCACAGGTAGGTTAAGTGATTGTACAAATTCTTATGCTAAACCAGTTCCCAGGCCTGTACTAGACTCTAGTTCTGATCTCAGAAGAGCCTCCTGCTCTGTTGCACATATTCTGCTTCTTAAGCTTTATTTGATTAAAGAAAAAATAGCCTTAGAGACCTGCTCTTGTTTTGGGAAGGAGACTCCTCTCTGAGTTGCTGAGCACACCCATAAGCCAGTAGCTGTCCACTTCTGCTGAGTGTATCAGTAAGTTATTAGCCCTCAAGGGAGAAATTTGAGGATATAAATAACTTGTATCTGGGCATATTTGTAATAAAACCAAACGTAAACTGTTCTGAGAATAGAAGGCAGCTATTTTAACTACGGGCTGACTTAACCTATAAAGTAGCTTGCGTGCTTCCCATGGAGGGGGAGACAGTGAAACCTGGCTGGCCACTGGCCAGAGGAGCTGCTTGGTTTTGCTTTTCTTTACACACCCGGAGTGGAAACTTCCTGCGCTGCCGCCGCAGTGAGGGGCGGAAGGAGAAGGTGTGAGGGGCGGGGGGGCTGGCAGGCTGTCGGCTGCCTCCCCGCCCCACGTGCCGTCTAATGAGTTCCTTCTGCTGTGTGTTGGGGTTGATGCAGCTCGTATGGCTCGTGGCTGCGAGGAGAGACGTGTTATGTTAGAAACGTGTTCCTGAGCCTCACGAAGGCCAAGGCACAGACTGTGTGAGGAACGGCAGTGATCCATCCTGGCTGCCGTTCCAGAAAGCGCTTGAGCGCGTACTTGACCTTAGGTGTTCTTCCTGAATAAGGATGCTTTCCTGGATGGAAGCCTTGAAAAGAGGGAAAGCCAGCAGCTGTTGACGAGCTCTCTGTTCCTTGGTTCCAGGTGGCCATGGTGGAGGTGCAGCTGGAGGTGCAGTACAAGTACCCCCAGATGCTGCTGATCGCCTTCAGTGCCTGCACGACGGTGCTCGTGGCGGTTCATCTCTTCGCCCTGCTCATCAGCACCTGCATTCTGCCCAACGTGGAGGCAGTGAGCAACATCCACAACCTGAACTCCATCAGCGAGTCCCCCCACGAGCGCATGCACCCCTACATCGAGCTGGCCTGGGGCTTCTCCACCGTCCTGGGAATCCTCCTGTTCCTCGCGGAGGTCGTGCTGCTGTGCTGGATAAAATTCCTGCCTGTGGGCTCCATCCTGAAGAACGAGACCACCAACGTGGAGAAGCCCAGCAGCCACGCGGGGTGGCAGTCAGCACTGGTCTCCACCATCATCATGGTCCCCGTGGGTCTGATTTTTGTCGTCTTCACCATTCACTTCTACCGCTCCTTGGTGCGGCACAAAACGGAGCGGCACAACCGGGAGATCGAGGAGCTCCACAAACTCAAAGTGCAGTTAGATGGGCATGACAGAGGCATGCAGGTGGTGTGACAGAGCCTGCACGCCCCCTCAGCTGGGGCTGAGGGCAAAACACCCGGTTTGCTACTTGGTGGGACGCACCAGTGATGGATTATCTTGAGGCTTCAATATGTAAATGCTAATTGCCTGCCATTTCTAGCTGTGGGTTCTAGTGCTGTTTCACATGCTGGGGTCTCTGGCCTGATTCTGGTCCTACACACTTGGTACTTGAGTTGACACTGCCGTGGAGTTCAAGGTCAAAACTTTACCTTAACATTGGTTCAGGTAGCCAAAAATCTGTATTTTTTACAAATGCAATATTCTGTTGCCAAAAGTAAAACTGCATCAGCTTCCAAACAGCCAGTGTGTGTGTGTGTGTGTGTAGGACCTGTTTTACATGTCAGAACTCCCTGGCTGTCAGTGCAGCCACGATTAACTGGCTGCTCATTTCTAGAGCAGAGCTGGTTAACGTGGGTACCTGCAGCTGACTCAAGGACAACCAGGAAAGCACAACAGAAACTGAAAGTGTTGATCACCATTGTTCCAAAGCAAGTATTCCATAAATACATAACCTGAAAGAAATCAGCCTTAGCTTTTTTTGTTCTTTTCTTGCTATTCTTTACTATGTTTTTACAGCTGGGGGTGTAGAACTTTGAATTGCAGGAGGCTGGGAAGTTCTCTCGTACTTTCTTCAGCAGCGTCTGTCACTTTAGATCGAACGAGTGCCAAGATCATGTGTTTTTTCCCAAGAAGAGGCAGGAGTGCCCAGGGAAGGCTTACAGGTGTTTTAGTTTTAACAAGGACATTCTTAAAACAGAACAGTGCCGGGGAATTTAATGAGACAAAACTTTGAAGGACTAGCAAAGCGAGTTTCAAGGAGGTAAGGAGTGACAGCAGATATTGTACAAATCTGTTGCTGTGTCTTCTTCATTCACGTGTTGCTGCGATGCCTTTTGCCTGTTTTGCTGGAGAGAACAAGCCCAGTCCTGTCTATTCCATCATTTAGCTTTTTTCAATTGGCTGTAGCATTTTCCTGTCAGAAATGAAGGCTTCCTTCTCCCTTCACCAAAGCAGGCAGCTCCTCTGGTGGAACCTGGAGCTGTGCTGGCGAGCCTGATGGAGCTGGATCCGGCAGGAATGCTGTGTGCCATTAAAGAGCTATCCATTTCCCTTGAGCTCATTTCTTTTTTCAGCAGCTGAGACAGTGACACTTGCATGTCTGTGTTGCTTAGCAAGGGAAGCTTGTAAATTCTGTAGCATCCTTGTGGGTGAAAAACTTCTGAAAAAAAAAACAATTTTATGATTTTTGGTAACTTTGTGGAGGGAAAAGAGTGTTTTGCAATCATGAGCTCTTTGAAGGGAAAGTAAGGCTTTCTGCCACACAGGGCTGCAAGAAGCATAAGCACATTTTCTTGGCCCTGATCCTGTGCTGATTTCCTCCTCTGCACTCAAAAACTGCAGTTTCAGAGTCTCTGAGGCCTTATAGGTTTCTGAAATCATTAAGGATGTTTGTAATGCTCTATTTAACCCTGGTCCCTTATTCCACTGGGATTTGAGAAACTTAATGGCAGTGTATTATTACATGTCAGCTTCCCAGAACGGAGAGCACACGCAAACCCCAGGGCAGCAGGGTGAGACTATCCCAATATTCCTCTCTGGTGAGGGCCTTGGGAAACCAACTCTCATCTCTCATGTTTACATGCGAATGTGAGCGTTGCTGAACAAGTTGCTTAGCACTGTGTCTGTGGCTTTCATCTGCTGTTCTTGCTGCAGTTGGCATGTACCATATTGGCTGATGTGCAGCAAAGAAAAATAGGCTTTGTGTGCTAAATGACTAATCTGTACTCATGTGCATATGCAAAAAAATGAGGAGTGTCCTCCAGGAAGTGGGTGGTCCTGAAATTCATACAAACTCCCCAGGAATCCGCCGTCTCTCCCTTCCTCTTTTTACCATAATAAAAATTAAAGGTTTATACAACAAAATCAGAGTTCAGTTTTCTGCCTAGTAATGCACATGTGGGCTCTTCCCCCAGGAGAATTTCTGTTGTGAGGCCAGAGCCAGACCAGATGGGAAGAGTCTCTCATCTGTACTTTGCACTCTCCTTTAATAATACCCTTGTGTACTGAGGAGCTCAGGAAGTTGTCGAGGAAAGCATTGAGCCATTTTTGCAATTTAAAAGGAAAAGTTTCCCCCGTGTGCACACAGTGCTGTGAAAGCAATGCAGCTCGTTTGGAAACAGCCAATTTGTTAATTTAATTTTTTGCAAGTATAATGAACTTCAGCAAATGGAGAAATGCAGCAGAAACTGTGCTTTGATTTTTGTAGAATAACTCGTTGAGGCTTTGGTGGGATTGGATTCAAGATCAGTCTCAAGGCAGAGCATCTGTGACTGGAGTGGGATAGCCTTACTCCAGGGGGAGTCTGAGGTATGGTTTGGGATGGTGTCCCCGGGGGCAAATGTACTTAAAACAGAATAATAACATGCTTTCCCATCTTTGCTTGCAGCTCTGTGTCTTGTGTCTCTCTGGGCACCGAGTTCTCCCTTCCATGAGAAGCCCTTGAGAGTATTTTTGCTCAGTGACTGTAGCATCTGGGATCTCTCTGGGATCACCTTTGTGCTGTAACTCCTCTCCCTTCCCAACAACAGCATCTGCTTTTCTTGCTCCTGCCTCTCTTCCTTTCAACTTGTTTGCATTTTCACCTCTGTCAGGTCCAGACTTGTGTTGCAGACAGGTTACCTGTGGTACCAGCCGTAGCAGTTCATCCATAAAGGAAGGAGTAGGGATGTTGGAGTTGTCCAGGTGGGTGTTTCTGTGCTACAGCACTAGAAAATCCTTGCTCCTGCTGCTGCCCATGGCTGTCAGCAGGATTCCCATCAGTCAAGCATGAAGATTCCAGCCTTTCCACACTGTCACTGCTGTCCCGGCAGGCCTGTGTCATGTCTGAATTTGTCTGTCCCGTGCTGTCACCTCTCTGTCATTTCTGGGGTGTCCGTTTGTCATTCCTGGAGTGTCCCAGGTTTTGTGTGGCTCCGTTCCTGCAATTCCTGCCCAGAGATGCTTCTCCCAAGGGTTCCACCCTCAGCTGGGGACATGTGTTGAGGATCTCCCTGACGTGTGTCTTGGCTTTTTGTACCAGCCTTGGGCCCTGGGCTGCTGCACCCTGGGGTGGCTGTTGCCCTGATTCTCAGCCCCCTTGGGCTGTGACTCACTGGACCAGTTATTACCTTATTTGGGCCATTTCCCCAATTTTTGCTCTGCGGCTTAGCAGGGGGACAGCCATGATCTCACTCCAGAGTCCTGAGTCTTCCTCTAGATTTTTTTTTGGACAGCTTTTGCCCAGCAGAAAAACGCCTCTGCAGACTGCAGCGCTGCAGGGACCTTGCCTGCCCACCCTACAGCAGGGAAGGAGCTGTCAAAGACAAGGGTACAGCCCAATTTGTGTCATTCCCAGGCACCTGCCCTGGTAATTTAGGAGGCAACTCCTCTCCCTCCTTCCCTGGTTAGCAGGAGTAAAGGCAGTGCACGACTGGGGGCCGGAGGGAGCTGTGGGAGCCCGAGCAGTGTCGGGTTCTCCCTTCGCCGTGTTTAGTGGCAGCTCTCGCTCTGTGAGCTCCCTATTTTTAACATCACCCCAGGGCAGGCCTGGCTCCCGTTGTTTCAGTGGGTATGTGACTCTCAGAGGGACTTTACGACCAGGAGAGATGGAGCAGTGTTGGGTTTCCACGTGACGGAGGAAAGCGATCCTGTGCGAGAGCCCCGGGTGGGGCGAGCGCTGCCGTAAGCGCTCAGATATGTGGGAGTGTTTATAGAGAGCTCCGGCGTGGGTTCAGCTGCAGAGAGAGAACATCCTTCCTCTTCCCTGGCCCTGGGATGTGGGGATGGGCAAGCCCGGCTTGCCTCGAGGACACCTGAGCTGGGCTGAGGGGTGGAGGTGCTCCTCTGGCCTTTCATAATGCGCTTTCTCTTCTGTCCCTGCCTTCAAACAAACAACAAAAGGCTTTTGGGATTTTCCCCACTGCTGCAGCTTCTTAATCTTCTAAATCTCATTGCATCTACTTTTAAGATAGCTGCCTCAGCACCCCCTCCAGGCTGCAATCTCAAATTCAGCTCCTGGCGAGGCTGGGCCAGGGGGGTTATTTTCTGATTAACTCTCAGGCTCTTTTCTCTGCACCCGACTCAAAGCAGTTTCAGTAATTTGACTGTCTGGATTTGGAGAGCATTCCCTTGAATCCCTGTGTGTCCAGCTGGGAGCTTGCCTTCTGTCCAGGGTTGTGACAGTGATGAGTGCTAAGAGGAAAATAAAAAAATCTGTATTTTAGCTTTGCCTGTTCTTGTTTTATCTCTGCATGAACAATATTTAATGTAGAGCAATGAATGTATCTCAGTTATTGTCCAGCTGTGTGAGAGAAACTGGATAAACTTGTTCAGTTTTGCACTTGTTACTGATTTCAGACTGATTTTTTGAAAGGCAGCTCAAGTCCTCCAGCATCCTCTATGGGTTAACTTGGGTTCTGCCTTGTTTTTTTAAAAAAAATCTTGCTCAGATATTATCCTTCTCCTTTTAACATACACAAGTAGATAACAATTAGATGTGCTTCCTTTTAATGAGGGTCTGGGTCTTGGCATGTGCTTTACAAGGAGGTTAAGGAGATGGTTAAGGAGATGAACAGCTGTGACAGGAACTTCTATATCAGGAAGACCATTAAAATTTGTCTTATGTTAATAATACCAGCTTAGTGGACAAAATTACTTTTAAGAGCTCATTAATTAAGACTAAAACGTCTTTGTACTTTTCTCAGACTTCTATGGTACTTGACAGTCAATTTGTTAATGCTTTGTAACTCTGCAAAACAGGGTTTTCTGGCTCTTTTTTTGTTTGTTTGTTTTGTTTTCTGGCTTTTTAGGAGAGAATGTACATAAAGTTTTGTAAAGTAATACTGAACAGATGGGTGTAATTGCATTTTGATCTAAGGATGATGCCCAAGAGGCTGTTTAAAATGTCAAAAGACTGACCCAGCAATTACTGTAGTGACGAGATTAAGTTTTGGACTTCAAAACCATTGAGACAAATCCCTCAGTTTTTGGCTCAGTATTTAATTATTTGCCTTTTTTCACATTTAAGATACCAACCAGGAAGAGCTGGAATTTTCTGGCAAGAGCAGCAGCTCCTGCATAGTTTGATTGAGGCAGAAAAACTCAGCTAACAAATGCAGGGCACAGAATGAACTAACACTGTGTATGTGTTATTGTGGCAATCTGATTCATCAGGAGCCATCATCTGCTTCCAGTGCAGAGAGAATGGAACAGCAGGTACACACAAGGAAAGTGTTTTAGCAGGCTGAGAGTGCAATATAAATCTAAAAGGGAGTGTTGGAAGTTAGGGCCAAACATTAATGGCAATACTTGATTGCTGCAGTTGGAGTGGATCGATGGAGAGGCTCGGAACTGGAAGAGTGATGAGGATATGAGTGCAGTGACTGCTCTGTGAGAACCTGCCCTGGGTTTCCTCTGTGTGTCTGTGCTGGGCTCCCCCAGGCTGACAGCCTCCTCCTCCTGTGTGGACAAAGCTCCTCTGCTCCAAAGGCAGCTCCACGTGCTGTCCTGGGAACATCATGCTCCCAAAGGCCTGTGGATTCCACCCACACAGTGCTGATCACACCAGGCTGCAGAAAAGGTGAGGAACTGCTGTTTTGAGAGCACCCCCTGCTTTTGGGAGTGAGCTGGAGAATCACAGAATGGGCTGGGTTGGAAGGGTCCTTACTGATCATCCAGTTCCACTCCCTGCCATGGGCAGGGAACCTTCCCCTATCCCAGGTTGCTCCAAGCCCCCTCCAACCTGGCCTTGGACACTTCAGGGAAGGGGCAGCCACAGCTTCTCTGTGCCAGTGCCTCACCACCCTCACAGGGAAGAATTTCTTCCTAATACCTAATGTAGATCTACCCTCTTCCAGTTGCAGCCTACGAGGAATTTCCTGGGATAGAGCTCTCTGTGCCTGTTCATGTTTGCAGTGACAGGTTTCCATCAGAGAGGCCATGCTGTGACTGCTGGAATCACTCCTGGAGCACCTCAGTGACACTCCCCAGCCTGCCTGGATGGAGGTTTGGGGTTTGGGACTGCTCATGGCAGCCCTGCTTGTGGATCTCTGCAGGAATTAACACGTAGCCAATGTCCACAGCTATTTAAATACAGGGCTAAACTGAACCTGGTTCACTGCACAAAGGGCTGTAGCTGTATCTGTTGGCTTAAACTGATAAGAAATATCCTGATTGACCCAACTGATTTCTAGTAAGGGTTTTGGGTAAAGAGCTCCCTCCCCTGCAGTCCCTAAAGCAGAGGGCAGTGCCTGTGGCATTAGTGCATTACTGTACAGTAAATCCTGTGCATTGTGCCAGGGAAGTACTTCTAGGGCAGAACACAGCAGTGCAGGGATGCTGAGATCCTGTTTGTAAATATGTCTGTCCCCTTTCCTTACCAACCAAAGCCAGGCAGCACTGTAATGTGGTGTTTTACTGCTGTAGGTGTGACTGTGCTGAATGGTTTTCATGGCACAACTGTATTTATTAAAGGATCACACTTCTTCCATGGCACAACTTCATTTTCAAGAGCACAGAAGTTTGTTCAGAGCAGACAGATGGCCTCAAATCAGCTTCTGCTGCAAATGACTTACTTGAATCTTAGGTACGAGGCATGATTCAAACCTGACTGCTGGAGGTGCCAGGAAAATAAATGATAGCTGCCAGTGTTGCAGTCTGTTGCCCAGCTTATTCCCAAAATCAGACTCTTGCTACTGAGAGCTGACAGCGGGGTTCAGAGATGACAAATGATCAGAAAATAACACAGCCTGTGCAGGCCTTTGGTCTGATCCCTGTCCAAGCTTGAAGAGTGGCATCAGCCCTCTGCAAATGCTGCTCTTAGATCCCAGAAGATACAGGTCACACACGGAATTCATGATTAATCCTCATTGTTAAGAGCCTGAATCTTCAGCAAAGGATAATTACTTTAATTAGTTCTCAGTGTGTTGTACTAGCTGTGGAGAGATACTTGCTTACCTTCCTCCCCTGGGAGCTGGTCTCTGAAGGTTCTGAGGAGGGTGAAAAGATAGTTGTGCCCCCAGGGCGAGGTGGAACACTCAAAACCGTCTGACAGTATCAAGTGTGGGCCAGGAAAGGTTAAAATATGTGGCAGGGCCTGGGCTAAAACTGTGTCAAGGGCTGTTTGATTTTCAGCTCAGTTTAATGATTCTAACTTACTATCTTCTAAGCACTTCAGTGTTTAGAAACTGGCTGTTTGCTTTTTTGTTAAAACGCAGCTAATGGATACAACAGCTCATTTCTGACTTTGGCCTAAAAGCTCCCATTGCCCAGCATAGCCTTTGAAGCCCACTCCTTCCTTGCAGTCCCTTATTTCTGTTTGTCAAATTTCCACTTTATTGAGCTTCTCTCTGCACACACCTGGTTCCTCACACACACAAATAAACCGGGTCATACAAATTCCGTACCTCGTTTTACAAATTTCCTAACAAAGGGCAACTCGGCCTCCCCCTTGATCACACCGGCCTGCCTTGGAATGAAAGAGCTATTTCCAGCAGTCCTTTGCCCAGTTCCTCGTGCCTTCCCCCGGCGCTGAACTCTGCAGAGAGCTCCCTGAACGTGACACAGACCCGGCGGTTCTCGATGTGCTTGCGGTGGATCCCGTGCTTCCACTTGTACCGCGCGTCCCCCTGCAGCACCACCAGCGCCCTCCGGGGCAAGTGAACAGCAACAGTCACCTCCTTACTGGGAACCAGCCTCGGCGGCACAACGCCCTCGATTCCCTCCTCGCCCGAATTTCTG